CCTCAGCCTCCCGAGTAGCTGGGATTACAGGCACGCGCCACCACGCCCAGCTAATTTTTGTACTTTTAGTAAGAGACGAGGTTTCACCATGTTGACCAGGATGGTCTCGATCTCTTGGCCTCGTGATCCGCCCGCCTCGGCCTATCAAAGTGCTGGGATTACAGGCTTGAGCCACGGCGCCCGGCATGCTTTCTCTTTTTCTTTCTTTTTTTTTTTGGACGTGGTGTGGCCCAGGCTGGAGTGCAGTGGCGCGATCATAGCTCAACGCAGCCTCGAACTGCAGGACTCAAGAGATCCTCAGCACTCGGCCTCCCAAAGCGCGGGGGTTGCAGGCGCCGCCACCGTGCCCCGGTTTTTTTGTTTGTTTTGTTTTGGAATATTCATCTAGGCCGGGTGTGGTGGCTCAGGCCTGTAATCCCAGCACTTTGGGAGGCCAAGGGGTGGATCACCTGAGGTCATGAGTTTGAGACCAGCCTGGCCAACATGATGAAACCCCATCTTTAAAAAAAATAATAAATAAAAATAAATGGAATACTCATGTAATAATGAGGACAGCGTCTGCAGTCTAGAGATGCCTGTCCGCAACCTTCATTGTTCCAATGACAGCTTTGGGGTAAGAGCTTTTAGGATCCTGTCTTCGTGGAGGATTCGGAGGCTCAGAGCAGTCGACCAAGTTGCCGGAGACACAGCACGCAGGACCTCAGGGAGGCTGGAAGGAGAGAGAGCCTCAGTCCACGAGACTTTCAGCCTCCAGCATCAGTTTACCCTCCAGTCCCCAAGCCCTCAGGGGCAGGGGCAGAATGGAGCAGTGGGTGGGCGTGGATTCACCTGCTAAGTGGGGCAAGGTCATGGGAATGAAATAACCCCCGGGGTCTGGAGCCTGTCCTGGTCTCCCCATCATCCTCCCCAGGACAAGCAGGGCCAGAGCTTTAGAATGGAGCCTGGAAGGCGTGGCCACCTATGTCCTTCAGCTAGGGGAATAGGCCAGAGTGGGGAGCACCAGCTCTGGGGGCAGCTGGCATGTGAAGGGTGAGATTAGGAATATCTCGGGGTAACTGTTTCAAGCTGATGTCACAAGTGCAAAGGGGAGCCGGTTCGGTGGCTCATGCTGTGATCCCAGCACTTTGGGAGGTTAGGGCAGGCAGATCACCTGAGGTCAGGAGTTTGAGACCAGCCTGGCCAACATGATGAAACCCCGTCTCTAGTAACAATACAAACGTTATCCGGGGGTGGTGGCAAGCATCTGTAATCCCAGCTACTCAGGAGGCTGAGGCAGATGAATCGCTTGAACACCAGAGGCAGAGGTTGCAGTGAGCCAAGATCTCGCCACTGCACTCCAGCCTGGATGTCAGAGCGAGGCACCATCTCAAAAAATAAAAAGTGCAACGGGAGGCCAGTTTGGTGCCTAAAGTCTGTAATCCCAGCACCTGGGGAGGCTGAAGCAGGAGGATCGCTTGAGCCCAGGATTTCCAGACCAGACTGGGCAATTGAGATAGTGAGATCCAGTCTCTACCAAAGTGGCCCGGGGAAGAGCCAGGCTCGGTGGCTCAAGCCTGTAATCCCAGCACTTTGGGAGGCTGAGGCGGGTGGATCATGAGGTCCGGAGTTTGAGACCACCAACCTGGCCAACATGGTGAAACCCCGTCTCTACTAAAAATACAAAAAATTAGCTGGGTGTGGTGGCACACACCTGCAGTCCCAGCTACTTGGGAGGCTGAGGCAGGAGAATCACTTGAACCTGGGAGGCAGAGTTGCAGTAAGTGGAGATCCTGCCACTGCACTCCAGCCTGGGTGACAGAGCAAGACTCCCTTTCAAAAACAAACAAAAAGTTAGCCAGGCATGGTGGTGCATACCTATGGTCCCAGGTACTTGGGGGGGGCTGAGGCGGGAAGATCACTTGAGCCCAAGAGGTTGAGGCTGCAATGGGTTGAGATCATGCCACTGCACTCCAGCCTGGGTGACACAGCAGGACCCTGTCTGGAAACAAAACAAGTGCAAAGGCCCTGAGGCAGGAACGAATGTGAACAGAGGAGCAATTTCAGCAGAGTGGGGCTGGGGACGACCACACTGGCGCTTGGGGGCCCTTGGCTCAAGCTGTCATCACTTTCCCCGTCAGCCCAGACTGAGGACTGGACCTCACTCTGGAAGCGCCTGGCACATTCCAGACGCTGCTGCCCAGGCCAGCCTGGGCGCGCTGACGCCACTGGCTGGGAATGTTTTCAACATACAGCAGCATCCTCCCTCACCCGCCTCAGTCCACCCCAGGGTGCCCCAGCGGGCTGTGACCTCAGACCTCATTCACTACTGGGGTTACCTTCCTGTCCCTGAATGAGCAGGGCCTGGTGTCCCAAGACCTACAGACGTCCCCTGCACTCCTGCAGGCTGGCAAAGCCAGGAACCTGGGTGGAAACCAAGACTTCTGAACTATTTCACCATTTTTTTTTGTTTTTCCAGACAGTTTCGCTCTTGTTACCCAGGCTGGAGTGCAATGGCGCAATCTCGGCTCACCGCAACCTCTGCCCCCTGGGTTCAGGCAATTCTCCTGCCTCAGCCTCCTGAGTAGCTGGGATTACAGGCACGTGCCACCATGCCCAGCTGATTTTCTGTATTTTTAGTAGAGATGGTGTTTCACCATGTTGACCAGGATGGTCTCGATCTCTTGACCTCGTGATCCACCCACCTTGGCCTCCCAAAGTGCGTGAGCCACCACGCCCGGCCTATTTCACCATTCTTTATGGGTTAGTCGTTTCTTCTGTTTGATGAGACATCAGATCCCCTAAACCAGTGTTTCCCCAAAAGCCAGGTTCCCGAATTTTAGCAGCAAGAAAGTTACTCTCAGCTGCACATGGGGGCTGACACCTGTGATCCCAGCACTTTGGGAGGCCGAGGCGGACAGATCACCTGAGGTCAGGAGTTTGAGACTGGCCTGGCCAACATGGTGAAACCCCATCTCTGCTAAAAATACAAAAA